TTAGACAAATGCCGGAACGTTGTTTGACAATATGCTCTTTCAAATGGTTCAAAACCAGCGTCCACATCTCTTAGCTTTCATTGGCACAAATAGCAAAAGCTAGAGGAAATATTTGTCCATTAGCATCTACTGCAACGGCTATCAACAGCTTGATATCATACTCTCCATAGACATGAGTGTCGTCTATGGATATTACCGGCCGACAATGCGAAAAACCATCAATTGCTGATTTAAATACCCAGAACACGTAATTAAATATATATTCTGGTTTTCCCGGACTCCGCTCAAGCTTTCATTCAACAACCGTCCAGGGGTTAAAGTATTGCAGTGCGGCCATGTACTTGGGTAGAGCTGCAAATGACTTATCCCAGTTACCATAAATAATTTCAAACGCACGTTTGTGCCCGAGAAATGCCTTTATTTTGGTAATGGTATGACTATATTCCTGGTGGACTGATGTAATGCACTCTTTGAACGCTTCAAGGTGTGGAATAAGGACAAGAGAAATCAAGTCAATATCCAAGTTGTAGTGATTCCCATTGAATGTGTCCATTTCACATCTGTGGATGGGAATATATTTACCCACTTTTCACATACCTGTGTTCTTCTTGCTCGCACGCAGCATCCAATCACAACCTGTAAACCATCTGCGACAAACAACCTTGTATACATCCGGACTTGACTCCCATACTGTCATCTCACGACACTCTTTTACGATGTATATTTTCGCCGCCCTGCTTAGGCGCACTTTATCAGGAAAAAGCATGCCCTTTGCCAGCACCGTTGGTCTAGAATCATCCCACATTGCTGTCCGAATTTCATCAAAATCCCTTGTGAGAGCATCCACATCCGGCATACTTGGCAAGTTATCAAGGTAGGGAATCTTCCTTGAATGAAACGGCACTTGGGACTCGTACACTCTTGGTCTAACGGGGGATGGAGCATACTCCCTCGTCAAATCATGTCCTTCATTCTCTTCCTCCTCGTCACCATCCTCACGAGGGAAGGGTGTGTCGTCTCCGGAATCATCGGCATTGTTGTCATAATCACTGTTCTCTTCCTCACTCTGTGCATCTGCCAGATCCCGATTTAATATGTCGTCTTCGGACAATTGAGTGAGGACAGGTGGTTCAACTTGCTCGTTTTCACTACACAAACAAAAAAATAATAAGCTACTGAAATTAATAAATACTTTCCATATAGTTGTATCACTTCACTTACAAGTCGTAACGTGTTAGTATTTCTTGATAGACATTATCCTGTTGGTGATGACTCCCAGATGGACCACCATGATCCAACACACCAGAACTACGCATATTCCAACTAGGCGTGGGTTCATAGCTTGTAAAAGTCATATCTGGTAGGTACCCCCTGTGGAATATATGAGTGCTAATACAAATTCAATACAACAAAAATATACATCGTAACACTAAGAAAAATTAAAGTTTACCACTCGTCTTGTAGATTATGTAGAGCAGGAGAGAAATTATTTCCTCGCTCCTCATTCACCCGTGGTGATAAGTTTAAACCAGGGCAAACTCTTTAATCCGGAACCTGTCCGGCAAAAGCTGCTCCAGAATAACCATCCGATGACTGAGGGTTATCCCTACTATGCGCAACCTCATTATTGCGAACGTCTTCGACTTTGACGTACATTTTCAATATTTTTATCACAAGAAATTCCCTGTATTCATCCGGAGTCCTCAAAAAATCCCTCAAAGTTTCATCATCGTCGATGTTAAACTCAGCGTAACAAACAACCCCTTGCGGAGTGACGAAATACGGATATCTTTCGGTTACTTTAAGGTTCACCGAACGTTTACTCACACTCATTTTATTACATAACAACGATATCAATCTATCGTACTCCATTGTAAGTGGCAACTTAACATGACACTGTAGAGATAAACTATAGCTCACAGAGTTATTCGCCACCACAACTTCACCCCCAATATAATGAAATCCTTACTTTTCGCTCTTCAGACATTATGAAAAATGCTTGAGAATTTAACAAGAAGAAAAATTTGAACGAGAGTTAGGAATATTTTTGAATGGATTTTTGTAAAATCCTAACGCCTATAAATAAGGCAATGGCTAGCTCGGTGGGCTNCTTTTTTTTAAACACACATTTCCGTCACACTTGTCCAAAAGAACCACAAATGGGTTCTGGACTCAATTCAAAGTGATTTTAAATTATCACTTAAATGGTCACTCAATTATTCAAAATTATCTTATAAAATCATATTTATTTTATTTGTAGAAGATAAGTCACTTAACTATACCTGTAGCATCAAAATGTGACTCAACCAGATTTCTCAAATTTTTAATTTTCAAATATATATTTTACCCTCTAAACTATCAACTTTTATCTTCTTCTTTTTTTACTTTTTTAATATTATGATTTTTTCTCTTTTAATCAACAATATTGACTTACCTTACAATAAAATTTTATTTAAACATAAAAAATTCTTTTTCTAGCATATATAATGTCAGACTAATAATATACTTGAGCATAATTATGAAGAATATATAATGTATATTATAAAAATACCTTTATTTTAAATAATTATTTTCTATAGTACATGCATGGAATATAAAGTTTTAACTTTTATTTCTTTCATTCTCAATTGTGCAAATAAATTTTTGAGTTTTATTGTTAATATCAAATTATTATTACGAACAAATTGTTCTAATTAACTTTCTACTATGCTTAATATTTTATTATTCCAATATTATATATGCTTAAATACTATTTTTATTTTCTTAAATTTATAAGTAAAAAAATTATTTATTCTAAGGTGTCCATAATATAAATTAAAAAGAGAAAAATTATAATATTAAAAACCTAAAAAAAAAAGATTTAGGTTGATAATTTATAGGGTAAAATAGGTATTTAGCAATTAAAAGTTTGAGAAATTTAGTTGAGTGACCTTCTGAGTGCTATAAACATAGTTAAGTAACTTTGTTGTTACAAACTAAAAAAAAATGACGTTAGTAGATAATTTCAGATAGTTGAGTGAGTATCTAAGTATATCAGTAAAACACTCTAACTTGTGATCATATATTTGTTATAAATTTATTAAATTATCAGTTAAAGCTTATCATAGAATTTTATTTATAATTTCAAATTTCGTTAGAAATTTACTTTTAATTAATAAGTGACCTAATATTTTTAATTTTGTTGTTACCTTTAGTGCATAAAATTTAAACTCAAAGAGATTTGAACTTATACATACGCTTATAATGTAATTTTTTTTAAATTATTAAGTCACTTAAAAGTTATTAAATTTTATTAATCAATAAAATTGATAATCTAAAAAATAAGACAAGCTAGTAAAAACCTTCTACATCATGTTAAAGTACATTGGTTAGGGATGGGTATAACTTAAAATTTTAAGAAATGAAACATTGTATCTAACTGTTATTTATGTAGTTAGACCGAGTTGATAAATCAATATATTTTTCATGTGACATAATTTGAAAAAAAAAATGCAAAAAGAAAATCGACAACTTTCAATGTGGTTCGAGTTAAGCCAACAGCTTGAGTTGAAATTGAACAAAAACCAACCGTATATATCAACTAAGATTAATATCTTAACTTCGACAGTGCAAAAGTTTTTTTTTTTTTTTTTTTTTTTTTTTTTTTTTTTTTTTAACATTTTAAAATCATTTAAAAGAAAATCTATAATAATCGTTCATAAAAAAAGTGAGATTTATTGTCTAAAAATAATACAAATTTACCTGCTACAAAGGAAAGAGCTTAAATTTTATATACATCGTCAGTGTACAAAATTCTTATAATTATCAAGTTACCAAAAAGATATCTCAAGGTAAGCGTGCTTAAAATATGAAAAACTTGAAAACAAGACAAGTTACCTGCTACAACAGATATATGTTATATCGAGAATGTATATACTTAGAGGGTGTTTGACTAAACTTATAAGCATATTTTGGCTTATCTACGCGTTTGGTAAACATCTAAAGTGCTTATAAATCAAGTGTTTACAAGTTAAATTTAGTCATAAGTCATAAGTTGGTCACCTCCAACTTATAGCTTTTCAGCTTATAAGCACTTTTAGTTTGACCAAATTTTTTACTAGTTTGTCCTTATAATATTTTTTAATTCACAAAATAAATAAATTTCCTAACTTTCTCTTCGTTCCATATTCGTTGTTCATCCGTTTCTTTATAAAGAGACTTGTTAATTATAATCTTTTATAAAATATTTAAGGATATTTTACTCATTTTAATAAAAGAACAGCTTATCAATATTTTTCTGCCAAACACATATACTGTTAACTATCAATTTTTGCATGTCTATCCAAATACGTAAATATTTAATTAAAAAATTAATTTCAGCACTTCAAGCTTACTAGGAATTTACAATCAGCTAATCCAAAAGGGCTCTTAAACTCTGAAGAAAAATATGACTTGAAGGTGTACACAAAATTTACATGTTAGTATATATAAGTTCCTCCCTCCTTCAAAAAACAATGACACAATTCAAATTTTGAGAATCAAATTTCTTAATTTTGATGCAAATTCAGATATAAAATTTATAAGTAAGTTTTTTGAAAGAAAATTATATTTAAAGAATTTCATATAAATACTACTCCCTATGTTTCAATTTATGTGAATCTGTTTGACTGAACACGGAATTTTTAAAAAAATAAAGATTTTTGAAATTTGTGGTCCTAAACAAGTTAAAAAAAGTTTAGTGTATTTGTGTGGTTATAAAAGTTTCGCACTAAATGTAAAATTGAGAGTTTAAGCTAAAATATTTTCAAATTTAGAAAAAGATCATTCTTTTTAGAACGAACCAAAAATAAAATAGGTTCGCATAAACTGAAACGGAGTAATATATAATTTACTGTCAAAGAACAGCTCGTTTGTGTATCACGTTCTCTTTGGGAGGGAAGGAGTATCGTATATAAATTGTCATTTTCCTAATTCCTTGCCATAATAATAAGTTTCGTGGGCATATGTGATGATGACGAAGTTGGCGTATTAAGATTCTAGAGAGAGAGAGAAATAGTAAAAGGAAGGAGAGTCAAAGCAGCAGCGCAGCAGTTGGTACTATTTGTATTGGTAATGATTTCGGCACAGACAGACAGAGAGCAAAAGAGAAAGAAAATACAAAGCCATAGGTGAGAATAGAATAGAAGAGAGAGATATATACTACTCCTACTACTATATCAGAAGCTCGTGATGAGAATTCTTTCTTTACAGTAGTAGCAAACAAACATCAAATATATCAGAGAATTAAGAGACTGCAATTTTTGCTTTTCTCGTGATCTCTCTTTTGTACACGTAATTATTACACTTTTTGGTTGTTGCTTTAAACCTAGACAGTTTCAACGGGATTTGCCAAAAACCATCTCTTTTCTAAGTCCAAACTTAAGCCAGATATCCCTCTCTTGTTCAACCTCTATATAGAAAGAACATAGCTCTCTTTTCTTTTAGTTTTCCACTTTTTTCCCTTTATTCTGTTGGTGGAAACTGAAGGGATAGAGGTGGAAAAGAGGAGTCTTGAAAATACCCTTTTGGAATTTGAAGAGATTTTTGAGTACTAAGAAGAATTTGAAGAATGGGAAATTGTGGAAGAAATGGTGGAGTGAGACAATATATAAGATCAAAAGTACCTCGTTTGAGATGGACACCTGATCTTCATCATTGTTTTCTTCATGCTATTGAAAAACTTGGTGGCCAAGATAGTAAGTTTTAGTATTTCTTTTTTCTTCTTTATTATCTTCCAAGTAATTATTTTTTTGCTAATTTTTGTTTGGTTTGTGTGTTAATATATGTAGAGGCTACTCCTAAGCTTGTTCTTCAAATGATGGATGTAAGAGGACTTACTATTTCTCATGTCAAAAGCCATCTTCAGGTTAGTTTTTTAGATCATAAAGATCCATTTACTTACTAATATTTCTCTACCTTTTTCCTTCTTAAGGTAGGGTACGTTCTGAGTATACACCATATTTCGCTCCACTTATAGAATTAGATTGGATTTGTTATTGTTGTATTTTGTTAATTTTACTAGTAAGAGTTTTGGTTTACTTGTTTTTCATGATAACAGATGTACAGGAGCATGAAAAGTGAAGTCAACAGGCAAGGTAATTCAAGATTTCTCAGTTTGTGTGTGGGAAAAAGTGGAAAAAATCATTCTGTAACTAAAACATTGTTCTTTGTTACTCTTTAAGTATTAAATGTTCTTTATTATGGACCGTTGAAATACATCTTTTTGTGTTTATGTGCAATAGAATGTGAATTCTTTATAAGTTTCCTCTATTAGAAAAAATTTCTTGAGGTTAGCTTTTAACATTTGTATATCTAACAACTAAATATATCTTGGGAAATCATCTTACAACTCACTTCATTTATTGCATCTTTCTTTCCCAATGAAGTTTCTTTTCTTGATTAAATTCCATTAGCACGGATATGAAGCAACCATTCCTTTGGATCTTCTAATATTGGCATATTTAAAGTAATGAAAGTCTACTACTAGTTGAATTTCTGATGCCCATTTACGTGTATTCCTTTCATTATTAAAGTTTAAAAGAAACTAAACCATTTTTCCCTGTGAAATCCTTTTTCTACCAGTTTGTGGAGACATCCAAATTTGTGTGAAAGTAGTTGTCCCATATTAGACTAGAATGTGAATGCTGTACTGTTTCCTACACCATCATCTCAGGCCATGTGAGATTACATTGGATTTGTTTTTTTCTTTTTTTTTGGGAGAATCGATCATGGCAGCAAGGCCACTCTATCACTTACAATATCCAGTCGTTAATTTAAGTTGACACTGGATTTGTTATTGTTGTTGATTTGATTGTATAAATAATTTTACAATATGCACAGAATTTAACTTTTTCTTGTTTGGTTGTGCTTTGTTTGTTTACAAACGGCAGATAGAAGCAGCACTCAGGCAAAAAAACAGTCCCTAGAAAGTCATGATTGTCATCAACAAGAAGATGGGTGTGTAGAGCAACAGAAGCTTCTGGTTTACCCTCCATCTTTTAATTCCATGGAAAGATCAGATTCTCCTTACTTTAACAGTATACAAGCCACAAAAAGGTGAGTTTTTAACCTTTTATGGTTTCAGTTTCCCAAGTCTCAAAAAGGGTTGTGCCAACAAACAAAAAGGATTTGCATTTATGGCCTGAACATGTGAACATTATCTTTACTTTATATCAACAGTGTTAATTAAAGTGCAACTACAAGCAACATTTTATAACAAGTGAGATTTTTTACAAGTTAAATCATTTCATTTATAGCTTTTTTGTTTCATACACTATGATCTACCGGAAACAACCTCTCTATCTTTATAAAGTAGGGTTAAGGTATATGTACACACGATCCTTCTCAGACCTCACTTGTAAAATTACCGAGGATTTATTTTTATTATTGTTAATATTATTATGAATTCCCCTCAGAGCTAGAATCGAGACCACAAGCTGCAGCCAGAGAATACGTGAAGCAGTGGCCAATCAGTACACTAAAGATGAATACATCCATAGTATTGCTGATAAAAGTGTGGTAACAGAATGGCAACAAACCAGTGAAAGAGAAAGAGAAACAGCTCATCCTGCTTTGTGCAACACTACTCATTTCTCTCTGCCACAAGATTTCTTTCAAAGTTTTAATCCTCAAGTTCAAGAATCTGAATTTTTCAAGGTACATATCCCAATAGCCCAATGCTTTTCTTTTTTGGTTCAAACTGCTAGTTATAAGTTCTTGGTATAATTAGTAGGGGTATTTTCTTTTGTGCAGCTTTTTTAGAATGAGAGGTTGAGTGCACTGTTTGGTACTATTTTGTTTTCAAGATTCAACTCTAGTCATACAGTTTACTTTTCTTTTTAACTTGTCCTGCTCTGTGAAATTTTCTGCATGGTCATGTACATTGTGTCTACAACTGGCAAAGCCTATAAGTCTTCATTCTATAGGGTATTAGGTTCATTAGTACTAAAGTAGTTGAAATTCAAAGTTAATGCTACTTTCTCTTCTGTTGTTTAGTGCTTCTTCTTTATTTTGATCTGATGTTTTGCTCTTTAAGTTTGCCCATAAGAAGAAAATAAAACAAGTATGGTCATGTATTTCGCCAAAAAGAAATAGAAAACAAGTTTAAATTAAGAATATATAGTTATCTATAATTATCTTTTATCTTTTAGGTATCATAATATTGTACGCATTCCTTTGTACCTATAGAGGGATCATTTGGTTCAAAATAAGAGTATTGCATGATTATAATCCACCTTCTATATCAGATAGATAATTCCATAATTTTGGTATGAATTTTTTATCCTGATTATAGCTAATACCACCACAATCAAACACCAAACAAATTTGATCCCTAGCTAATTTTATATTGGGATTACCCCTAATTTCTGTAACCAAACGGCCCCTTAATTATAGACCTTAAAACTTATCAATATATAAAAGTTAAAACTCTTTTTATATATTGTTGGATGGGTTGTTGAGAGTATATTTATTATGCAATGGTCATGTTTTGACATGAAGAAACACGTTGATGAGGAGAAAATCCATGCTACAATTATATTCCAACATTACTAATTAGTCTTTCTACCTAAGCTTTTGTATTTTCTTCATACTTTAACCTCAGCAGTTGACAAAATTTTTAGTTGGTATCTGGTACATTTATTAGGAGGCCATGCAAATGTGGAAGGGAATGGGATGAACACTTGAAAGTCTCTTTGGGATCTTATAAAAATTTAATTTTTTTTCTTTTCTTATAACAAAATTCAAATGGCATTAAATACATTTTACTATAGTACAATACGAAAGCAGCAGTGACTTTATAACGGTGGACCACATTATTTAATAAGTATAATGAGTGATCTTTTTGGTACTATTGTTTTCTTCTTCTATTTGCTGTACAATTCTACTAAACTTGTCTTTTTTCATCGTAACATACTTTAAAAAAAAAGAGACCTTTTGGCTGCAGACTTGTTGGAATAGACTAGCAAGATATGGTAGAGCATTACCAAGAAAAAAACATGAAACTCTAATTTTAGCAAGCTTGTGAAGAGGTCATAAGTTGATCTATTCAATTTGACCATCTTATTATTACAAAAAGTATTAGCTTACAATTGCGCTTAACTTATATATGTTGGCTTCGTAAACTTAATCTTACAATGATTGAAAAGATAACTATAGAAACAGTATCCAAGAAAGTCAGGTAACTTAACTGTTATAACATGTTAAAATATATTATACACTAAAATTTATTACATTATAACTTTCACAACTAAGTAGCTTCTATTGCAAGCATTTTGACTGATTTTTTTGTTGCTCAGGCGGCCAAGCAACAAGATTCAAAACGGGAATCAACAAAGAAGTGCAAATTCCTGGGCACGAGGAAAATAGAAAGTGCAGGAGGAGAAGAAGAAGAAGAAGAAGACGACGATTGTAGATTATCGTTGTCTCTCTCATTGCACCATCCTTCAACTCAAAGAAGCAACACTTCGTCCACAATAAGTGAGATTAGTGAGGCAATCTCTTCGTACTCGGGTTCTAACCTGAATCATCACGAGTACCACTGGCTTTCTTCGTCTGAAAAGCATAGAGTTGTTAATCTTGATCTGTCTATTGCCTTGTGTAGTAAGTAGTGACTTATTGATATTTCCATGCAAAATTCCCCTTAGGTGAATTTTAAAATTAATTAGTCTCTATTTGGAGGAGGAAGTTTTTACTTCTTTTACTGTAGTGTTTCTCTATCTTTTTTCTGTGTTTACTATTTTTTTTACCTTTGTTCATGTTGATATTAGAGAAACGCTTCAGTAACATAAGTACTCGAGTATTGTTATAGTAGTACATTTTAACTTTTATGTCAGTTCCCTTGTAGTTTTTTTGTCTTTGAGTAATCTAGGAATTCACATTTGTCTTACTATCCTTTTTATCCTGTTTATTCTTAAAGGCGCACTTTTGTCTTTTTATGACCATAATTTTATGGGCGAAAATAAAAAATAGTTAGATTTATAACTGGTAATTGAAAAATAATTAGAGTTTTAAAAGTAATTGAAATTTAGTCACTTTATATGTAAAGATAAAATCTAAACAAAAACACTGCTAAAAATCTGAAACTATTCCAGCATAATATGTTGGAGTTCGAATTTTTTACGTGAGCTTCTAGCATAATATGTTGGAATTTTATAATGTACTGGAGTTCCATTATAATATGCTGGAAGTTTATATGCAGGAGCTCCATAATCCCACATATTATGCTAGAACTTTTCGTGTCCTGCAGTCCAACATAATATGTTGGAAGTTTATACGCAGGAGCTTCATAATCCCGCATATTATGCTGGAATTTTTCGTGTTTCAGCATAACAATGGCTTCGCAAACGCTGGCTATTTTTTAATTATCAGTATGAAAAATGACTAGTCCGTGCTATATTGACTAATTTTATGATCAATTTTGTCAATTTTGAACTTGGAAATTGACAGAATGTAATTTAATATTTTGTTGAATTTAGATAAAGAGCAAAATAAGAAAAGGAAAAGAACAAATCCTTCCGCTACCTTTAGCTTTATTTTTATTTCCAGCTTCCTTTCACTTTGATATGCTTTTTAGCATGGAGAATGAAGTACACAAATAGCCCTTAAAGCGGATGGTCTTATATTCTCCGCTTACTAATTAGTCACATATAATAATAATATATTCAGTGTAATCCCACAAGTGAGATCTGAGAAAGATAGTATGTACGCACACCTTACCCCAACCTTCAAGAAGGTAAAGAGGTTATTTCCGGAAGACCTTCGACTTAGGAAAAATAAAAAGAAGGGCAGCAGCAAGCACACCAATTAAAAAATCGAAGCAAAAATACAAAGATACAAAACTAAAAATGAGTATTGTAATCAGAAGGTCGGAACAAAGCAACGACAAGTAAACACAAAAGTCAAGGAATACGAAAATACATAAATAACGCTAACTCATGTACTAAAGCAACTGTTACAGACAAGGACAACGCTAGACGATCTATCCTAACCTTTTACTTTTATTCTTAACCTCCACACCTTCCTATCCATGGTCATGTCCTCAGTGAGCTGGAGCAACGCCATATATTGTCTAATCACCTCTCCCTAATTGTTGAATATTGAAGTTTCGATGATTAATAAAGTATGACTAAATGTTCAAGGAACCAAGTCCTCAACGTAGCTGCTTAACTGTTCCGAAGAACCAGCTCCTTCGGAGAAAGAATCAACTTCTCATAAGTGATACCCGTAAGTCTGACAAGACAATAACTTTATCTCAAAGTTACACAGGTCCGAGTTTGGTGGAAGATGGATGTTGTAAGTGATAAGGGTCGTTTCTCAAGAAGATATGGATAATTCAGTCATAGACAAAAGTCTCAAAGCTTGTGAAATCCTTGGAACAATAGGAGTCTTATCAAAGAGGAAGCTAACTATGAATAGGACTCATAGAAGATCTCAAGTTGTGTTTTAAATAGGATCGATTGTGGATTTCTGAACTATCCTTTTACAGATCAACTAAAGAGTCATGTATTTTACTTGTGTTGAGTATTGTCCTTGTATTCTTCCTAAGTCAGTCTAGTAAATGTGTTTTAGGAAATTGAGTTATAATCAAGTGCCATAAACAATTAGTAAGTTAGAGTAAGTATTTTGCTTTACCAGTTAGAGTAACTTGTGAATCAAATAGGAGTAGTAGAAGTAATGGAGAGTATTTAATTACAGTCTTGTAATTGATATATTTTGGCTCAGTGTTCTAGTGGAGTTCGAGCTGAAAATCCTACGTGGTAGGTCGTGGTTTTTTCACCTTTAGAGCCGGGTGATTTTCTATGTAAAAAGTATTGTGTTCATTTTATTACTTGTTTACTTTACATTTAAGGAACACGGTAAAGAACCAAGTTCTTTAATAATTCATACGGGCACTCAAACTAATAATTGGTATCGGAGCGGGTTCTCTCATTTACACGACTAACACCTAGAGAGATCTTGGAAGTAATATAAGTGCTCCACCCGAAATTAATGAAGGACAATCAACTATTAGGCCACCCCTATTTAATGTAACATATTATAGTTGGTGGAAAGCAAGAATAAAAGACTTCCTGACAACTGCAGACTATGAACTATGGACCATAGTGAACAAAAGTCCTTTGATTCCTACTAAATAAAATGCACAAAATGAATAGTTCATAAGGACCCCTCCGAATTTGTGGCAGCAGATTTCAGAATGATGGAGAAGAATGCAAAGGCTAAGAAAATCCTTATATGTGGACTTGGTCCTGATGAGTATAATATAACTTATGTGTGCTCTAATGCGAAACTAATATGGGATGCACTCTAAACTGCTCATGAAAGAACAAACCAAATAAAGAGATCAAGGATTGAACTACTCATGAGAAACTATGAGCTTTTCTCCAAGGAGTTTGAGCCCATCCAGGATATAATGACTAGGTTCACTATAATAACCAATGAACTGAAATCACTTGAAAAAGTGTTTACCTCAGAATAGTTGGTTAGCAACGTTCAAAGAATCCTTCCAGCTTCATGAGAATCAAAAGTCACTACAATCCAGGAAGCCAAGGAATTGGACAAAATCTCACTTAATGAGTTGTTTGGAAACTTAAAAACTCATGAAATGAGAAAGATAGAACTGCGCAAGGAAGAACCAAATAAGGATAAAGCCTTGGTTCTTAAAGCATATGAGGATGATGAATCTGACTATGATGATCCTGATCTAGCAATGTTTGCCAAGTTCAAGAGGTTCATGAAGAATTTCAAAAGTACATCTAAGAGAGACCAATAATAAGCCCAAGCAGATCGACAAAGCTATCTATGATGTGTGCTACAAGTGTAGAAATCTAGATCACATGGTCAAGGACTGCCCAATATGGGAAATGGACTGTCCAATGTGGGAAATTGAGCAGAGAAAAGAACAAGTTGAAAAAGAGAAACAGGAGAAGATGAGAGAAAAAGGTTCCAACAAAGGAAAAAATCATAGGCAAAGGATTTACTAAAGCAATGAAGCATGTATTCTTGGCAGCATATGAGGACAATGGAAGTGATCAAGAGGAATAAAAGAAGTATAAGGCTATAAGTCTTTATGTTGTTATTGATGAACACCAAGATGTAAAGACAGAACCCCTACTACAACTTGGAATGCACATTGGAAGACCTCATTTGTTTGATGAACACCACTATGATGAATGGAAGCTACGTATGGAAATATTTCTTCAGGCTACTGACTTTGACCTATGGGTAATTGTCAGTCATGGACCAATTCTCCCAACCAAATTGGACAGTGAAGGTAACTGGTGTAACAAAACAGAAGAGGAATACAATGAGGAAGATCGTCATCTAGTTCAAAAAAATGCTAAAGCAAAGGACTTGTTCTACAGAAGCATATTTAGAAACACCCTCCTCAGAGTGTCCTCTTGCATCTCTGCTCATGATATATGGAGAACCTTGGAAACTGACTTTGAAAATGAAAATATCGAAGTGGATTTGATGGCAATTAAAGAATCCAAAACAGAGAAAGAAGTGATAGGAATAATGGCCATGAGTGATTCAGAAACTGTAGATAAAGCAAAAAAGGTAAGTATATCTGTCTTGAAAGAAAATATTCATGCTATGCCCAAAAAACAATTGATGGACATAATTGTGACCTTAATGAATGAAATGGATAAAATGAGTACTGAAAATGATCAGGTAATAAGCAACTTTTCTTGTGTCAAACTTGATATCAAAGAACTTGAATCTGACAAAACTAGTTTAGAGAAACAAGACAAATACCTTAAGAACCAGGTTCTTGAGCTTACTTTTGAGAATGATAAGTCTCCTGGTATACATGGCAAAGGAAAAATGAGTGATCTTCAAGATAAGCTTGAAAAGGAATTATAAATTGCTAATGATAATCTTTGTGATGTTGAATGTAGAAATAAAGTCCTACATGAAAACCTAGAAAAGGCTAATTATGACCCCTCTAGACCAAGCAAATGGCATAGATCTTTTGATGACATAAATTGGCGGAATAAAAACTGTAGCTTTAACAAATCTGGAATTGGCTATAGAAAACATGTCCCTAAGTTTGACCCAAAGTATGTAGGAATTTCTAATAATAAAATGAGCACTCATTGTGAAAGAGTAGGACACTTTAGAGACATTTGTCCTGCTTTAATTCATGCTCAGTTTAGAAGCACCTTTGGTATTGCTAAAAATGTGAAGATGGAAGAGGAGACAAAGGTTAATCCTCATGTCTATACTAAGTGGATTAAGGTTAACAGAAACATAGCTTCTAATCCTCTCCCCTTTTGGGCAAGAAGGGATCTGATTCATCCTTTCTCAAACAAAAAGGGACCTAAGCTTGTATGGGTTCCCAAAACTAACTTGTAAATTTTGGTGCAGGATAATGTGAGAGGATACAATCAGGATTGGTATCTAGACAGTGGATGCTCAAGACGTATGGTTGTAGAAAAGAAAAACTTACTCTCACTGACAACCTTCCAAGGAGGGAGTGTATCATTTGTAAATGGGAAAAAAGGCTAGATAACAAGTATTAGCAAGGTTGGAAAGTCACTCTCTCATGATATAGAAGATGTGTATTATGTGATAGGTCTTAAACACAATCTTCTTAGCATATCTCAAATGTGTGACAAAGAAATGAGGTAAAATTTAATTCCAAAATTTGTACTGTCACAAAGCTTGATACTGATGAAATTGTGTTAAAGGGTAAGAGACATAACAATGTCTACAAGATATCGATTATGTCACTTCCCTAGAGTGAGCACACATGCTTGAGTGTAGTGGAAGATAATCCACTACTATAGCATAGAA